TGGCTCCCCTGCGTCTACACTAGAACTGGGAGGGGACTTCCCAGAGTGCATAGACAGGCCCATCCCAGCTCCACCCAAGCTAGTGCACTGGACGTAGCAACATAGCCGGGGAAGCATGGACGCCGGGGCAGTACCAGCAAACCCAGCGCCGGACAGGCACGCTCTCTGTGGGTTCCTGGACCAGAGCGCCCTGGTGGCAGGGAGTCTGGCAGCAGAAGGGCCAGCTGTTGGCGGCAGGGCTGACATCCCTCCTGCGGTGACAATATCAGGGCCGGGAGCCCTGCCAGGTCTGCGGATCTGGTGTTCCTCCCCCCCCCCCATCCGCCAAACTCTCTCGCTCAGGACTGGTTAGGTCCCCTAGGTGCCAGCCCAGGCCTGTACACGGCCAGGGATCTGGGCTGCTAACCTGGCTACACGGCTGGTTTTGGTGCATGCATCTGCCCACACATAGATGCACCCTACCAGAGACAAAGAGCAAAGCCAGCCGTCTCGTTTGCCGGGTGTCCAGTGTCAGCAGTATTAGGCCTCCAGTCAAAATTCCCCCTAATTGTTTCCAGCCCTGCACTTCCCCCCCGCCCCCATCTGCGTGTGGAATACATTTTGTGATGTGCGCAGAGGGGCATGCGAATGTGCACCACCAAGAGAAACACAAATCTAGCTGCTAATCCGCTGGGCGGCATTGGAATCTCTGAGTGGCTGCACAAGCACACAGCTTACAGGGAACATTCCAGCCTCACAGCCTGCAGGCCATCTGCGGCCAAGCAGTTTCATAATCTGGGCCCTGCCACTCCGAGTGGCTGCACAAGCACACAGCTTACAGGGAACACTGCCTCCGTTGCCAGGGAGGGCACACGCCAGCTGTTCCCTGTAAGCTGTGTGCTTGTGCAGCCTCTCAGGAGAGTTTCTAATGCCGCCCAGCGGATTAGCCGCTAGGTTTGTGTTTCTCTTGGCGGTGCACATTCGCACGCACCTCTGCGCACATCACAAAATGTATTCCACACGCACATGGGGGAAAATCCCACAACACTGCCTCCGTTGCCAGGGAGGGCACACGCCAGCTGTTCCCTGTAAGCTGTGTGCTTGTGCAGCCTCTCAGGAGAGTTTCTAATGCCGCCCAGCGGATTAGCCGCTAGGTTTGTGTTTCTCTTGGCGGTGCACATTCGCACGCACCTCTGCGCACATCACAAAATGTATTCCACACGCACATGGGGGAAAATCCCACATGTGTATGGAAAAGAGTAGAGGGCACTTTGATTGGAGACCAAATGCTCCTGCCCCTGGACACCTGCCGCAGATGGCCATGTGGAGCGGAGCCGGAAGTACAGCTCTGGGTTAACTCTGCCTGCCGCATGTGCCGTGGTGGAGTCAGGGCTGTGCCCAGATCTGCCAGAACTGTGCAGCCCTCGCCCTGGTCCCTTCGGATCCCTTCCCGCTGTCTCCTCCCCAGCTCAGCAAGCGACGCGAGCGCTGTACGGGGTAGCCCTGCTTCCTGGCAGCTGGATGGTCCTGGGGGGCTCGCTGTCCGGGGAGGGAGGGGAGCGCAGGCTTCAAGTGAAGCTGAACTGGGATCTCGCTGCTGCAGATGGACCCATTTTATGGGGCTTGGATTCCTAGGCCTTGGCTTTCACACCTCCACCCCACCCCTTCCTGCGGAGCAAGGCCCGGTGGCACAGGGCGGCGGGGCTGGGGAAGGCTCCAGAAAGGAAGCGGGTGAGACTGCAGGGGACGGAGGAAAGGGGAGGCCGGGCAGGAGCCAGGGTGAGTAGAGACTGAGCCGGCGGCTGATCCCTATGCCCCCTTCTTTCCAGGGAGGTCACCCGCTCTCTGAAGGAGTTTTCTTCCAGCAAGAGGATGAACACAGGAGAGAAGGTGATGCCATAGCTTGAACCTGTTCTTGCAAGTTGCCAAGGGCCCTCAAATCCCAGCTACCTCGAGTGGGCCCATTTAGGAGCGAGGCAGAGGGCAGCGGGATATCCAGGTCACCTCGAGACCCCCAAACGCTGGTCAACGCCACCCCAGGTGTGGGCCTGAGCTCCGGGTTGGGGGGGCAGGAGAGGGGCGTTTCTCCTCTGCGGCCATCAGCATCACATTCTCGCCATACAAGATTTGCCCTACGGGATCCGATCAGCGCTCCATCACTCCGAATCCCACCTAGCCCGGGCACGGAGCAATGACAGCCTGGTCCGACCTGGGGCCCATCTGCTCCAGGATCCTGTCTCTAGCAAGGGCCAGCTCCAGCTGCCTGAGAGAAAGGCACGAGAAGCCCGACAGACCCAGAGCGGCAGGTTTCCTCCTCACCCCCAGTAGCTCGTTTGGCCCTGAAGCATGAGGGTTCAGATCCCAGCCCTGCAGGAGACTTGGGGACGTCCTGCCCACCACCCCCAGAGAGGCTGGGAGGCTCCCCTCCCCCCCGCCCAGAAGGGAAATTCTGATTTCTTTCCCAGCAGACCACTATGCGGGACCTGTCCCAGATGCTGAAGAAGATGCCACAGTACCAGAAAGAACTCAGCAAGGTGAGCAACGGAGGGGAAGGGGGTGGCTGCTCACAGCAGGGAATCCGAGCAGGAGCATCCTGCCGCTGTCTAGTGCCTGCCTTCTTCTTTAGGCTAAGGCAGCTGTTCTCATACAGAGGTCCGGGGGCCAGCAGTGACTGGGGGGCCCTTGCTGTGGCCCATTGGAGATGTCTGTTACGTACCACGTGGTTGGGTTGGGTTGGGTTGGGTGTGGGGTGGGGAGGAAAGAGGGCCATCCTAGGAGGCTGGGAAGGGAATCGTCCTCCAACAGAAGGCGGTAGCAGGACTCACCCGCTGAACGTCTACGTTATTTTGAAAGTAGAGTTCGAGATCTCAGGTGAGCTCATGGGCCCATTGTACAAGGAACTGTACCAGCTACATAGCAGGAAACAGCCCTGGCCCACAGAGCTTACAGTCTAACCGGAGAACAAAGCGGAAGGTGGGCAAAAAGCAAAATGACAGGCCCAGGGTCACCCAGGAGGTCAGTGGCAGAGCTGGTTCTGAAACCCGGCTCTCTCAGCGCCATACCTTAGTCTACAGCCTCTTGTGGTCCAGAGTGATTCATTCTCCTGGGAAAAGTCAGACGCTCTCCCAGGCCCCCCCGTGATGGGGCGGCTGGGAGGAGGAGGAAGAGGAACTTGGCAAAATGTAGGAGAGGCTTGAAATCCCAGACTTGTTTTGCCAGGCACGAGGGGGCGCAGCGCAGCATGAACAGCTCTCGTCCCGGCTGGAAAGGGCACGAGGCAGAGCCGCGGAGGGAGATCAGAGGGGCTGGGGATGCTCCTGAAGTCTAGTCACACGTCCTCGCCGACACAGGCCGGCCCCTGCGTAGCTGTCAATCAGGGCCTGGTCGGCCGAGCCGGCTTTCAGCCCCGGGGAACTTAGTGCTGCTGCCACTGCTAGGCCTGCGCCTGTCCCCTTCCTGTCTCCCCAGTACTCCACCCACCTGCACCTGGCGGAGGACTGCATGAAGCACTACCAAGGCACCGTGGACAAGCTCTGCCGAGTCGAACAGGTGCGGGGCTCCTCGCGCTCCCTCTTCCCCATGCTCCTGTGGCACCCCGGGCCCTGCCCCCCTGCTCCCGTGGCTCCAAGGCCAGCCACACAGCCGTGGAGCCCACAGATCCTGCAGGGCCTGGGGCTGAACCCTCCTTCGCCAGGATGCTCTGCTCCCCCGCCCAGCCAGGGCTGTTGCTGTGCAGCCTCGGCCTGGTTTAGCGCCGTGCTGCCTGGACTTGGCGCGCACCGTGCTCGCTCGCCGGAGCCAGGGCCTGGCCGTGCCTAGAGGGGGGAGCCCAGCACCACCGAGCCTGCACGACAGATCCTTTATGGGATCTCCCGGCTGCCCGTCAGACCGTCCAGGGCGGGGAGAAACTGTCTAGAGGCAGGGGTCAATAGGCCCCCGTCTAGCTGCAAACTAGGCGGTCCCCTCCCACTCCCCTCAAGGGCCAGGGGCACTGGAGAGTCTCCACTCTGCTGGAGAAAGCTGCTGGCCTGGTGCTGGAGAGAGGCGGCCTGTTCCCAGCCGTGTGCTTGTCTCTCTGCCCTGCCCAGGTTTGTCCGGGGCGGAGGTTTGAACCACCCGCTCCTGGGACGGTGACAGCCTCAGCTCCCTCCCTCCCACCCCTCCTTAGCTTCCTGCTGCAGCGGCAGAGCTGGCTGCTCCCAGGCTCCTGCCCCAGCGCTCCAGCTGCCCGGCCGAGATCACTTCCAGGGCTCGCGTCAGTCTCCTTTTGCTCTGCGCAGGGAGGCGCTCGGAGCCCTGCTCTCCCCCTTGCGCCCTGGCTTGAGTCAGAGATCAGCCTCCACACCCCCCGTCCGCGCCCCTAGCCCCGAGGCTCCCCGCGCGGCTGCAGCATGGCCCCGGGCAGCAGGCCGGGGGACGAGGTCAGGAACGTGCACGTTCTCTGTAGGACCTGGCGATGGGCACTGATGCCGAAGGGGAGAAGATCAAGGACCCCATGAGAGCCATTGTCCCCATTCTGCTGGACGGGAACGTCAGCACCTATGACAAGATCCGCATCATCCTGCTCTACATCTTCCTGAAGAATGGTAGGAGGGGAAACTGCTGCCGGGTGGTGGCCGGGAGGGTGGGGCTCTTCTGGGCACAGTACATGGGGAGAGACAGTGGCGGGGAGAGGACTAGAGGAGGGAGAGAAGATCAGCTCAGCCCTGGCCACTGCAGATTGGCAGGGGCCTGAGCCCTGCACCCCAGACAAGAAAATGGAGCTCCCTCCTGCTCCTCTATTGCCAGGGAGCGCATGCGCTGGGCCCCTGCTTTACTCCGCAGGAATATTTAACCTGCGCCCAGGACATCCACCGCACCGACTGTCGGCAACGTTCTCGAAGTGTTTCTGTTCATGTGCAGAATACATTTTGTTAGGTGCACCAATGCATGTGCAGATGTGCACCACCAATAGAAAATGGAGCTCCCTCCTGCTCCTCTATTGCCAGGGAGCGCATGCGCTGGGCCCCTGCTTTACTCCGCAGGAATATTTAACCTGCGCCCAGGACATCCACCGCACCGACTGTCGGCAACGTTCTCGAAGTGTTTCTGTTCATGTGCAGAATACATTTTGTTAGGTGCACCAATGCATGTGCAGATGTGCACCACCAATAGAAACATGGGCTGCAGTCACTCTGCCAATCAGCTGGGTGGCACCTGACTCTCTCCTAGGTGGCCGCCCAAGCGCTCAAGGAACAGTATCAGTGACTCAAACTGCTCATCACAACTGTGCTCACTGTGCTCTCTCATAACTCACACCACTCCACTTTACAGCCCTTTTGGCAAGAGGCAGCCTTCCCACGGGGAAGGTACCAGCCTCCCCTCCCAGGTGGAGGAAGCAAAGGCATGACGGGGGAAGTGATTTACACACTCACCTGGCACTTCAGGGGCAGAACCAGGCCTAGAACCCAGGACTTCTAGCTCCTCCTTGACCCCCTAACTTCTTGCGGTGGTGAAGTCTGCAGAGCCAATGCACAGAACCGCAGCTCTTCCAGGCAGAGTGCAGCTCTGAAGGGGGAAGGCAGGATTTAGTCTGCAGAAGAGAAGAGTGAGGCAGGGGGGTTCCAAAGAGGCTGGCGAGAGGCTGTTCTCAAGGGTGGCAGATGGCAGAACAAGGAGCAATGGTCTCAAGTTGCAGGGAGGAGGTCTAGGTTGGATAGTAGGATAAACTATTTCCCTAGGAGGGTGGGGGAGCACTGGGCTGGGTTCCCTAGGGAGGGGGTGGAATCTCCATCCCCAGAGGTGTTTAAGTCCCAGCTTGACAAAGCCCTGGCTGGGATGATTGACTTGGGGCTGGTCCTGCCTTGCACAGGGGTGTTGGACTCGATGCCGCCTGAGGTCCCATCCCATTGATTCTATGACTGGAGCTTTCTTGCAGTCAGTGAGGAGCCTCGTCATTGAGGATCCCTGGTGATGATTGACAGGTGGCAACCTCTGACCCCAGGCCAGGAGCACAGGCTCAGTTTGGAACGCCGTTTCCCCTTTGCCTTCGTAGGGATCACCGAGGAAAACCTGAACAAGCTGATCCAGCATGCTCAGATCCCTCCGGAGGAGAGCGAGATCATCACCAACATGGCTCACCTCGGGGTGCCCATCCCCTAACCCGGGGCGCCCGCCTCCCCCTGCCCTGTGCATCAGCCCCACCCATGCTCACTCATGACTGGCCCAGAGTCTCCCTGTCACAAGCTGTGGGCTCTAGGAGCCCCCTCCCACGAACTAGCCTGGATTAGGATTAGCCATTATCGGACAGACACCAGCGGGAGGCGGCCACTCAAGTGACAGCTGAATTCTGATGGGCTTTGGGATTGTAATTAAATTCCAAATGGCTGGTACTGACTGGCTCTTGCAGGAGCTGGGCAGGAGGAGCTTGGCCCAGTGCTGCCAAGTTGTAAGTGACAGAGGATCAATAGAACCACGTGAAGAAGAGAGAGCGCCTGATCCTAAGGAAACAGGACCTGCTCCCCCGAGACATCATAGGGGCAGAACTCTGTCCCTGAGTCAGAGTTAACAGCTGGTCACGGAGAGGGGTGTCGGTGTCGGGAGCATACTGACCCGTCCCTATGAATCCCCCAGTGTTGTGAGTCTCTGGGTGCTGCAGAAGCGCCCGTGATCTTTACCTGTTGTTCCTGGGGCAGGCAGAGCAAGGGAGGGGAGAGGCCAGGGGAAGAAAGTCCACGGTGCTTTTACCGCCACTCTCAATGTTCGCTCCATGGCCATGAAAGAAGCTGGATTGACAGCCCTGAAGGCACAGGGCAGCACGGGCCAAGCCAGGGCGTGCAGACTGCTTCCCCTCCTCCAGCAATGAGCAGAGAAGCAGGAGTACATCTCGGGGGTGGGGGGCAGAGGGGCCCATAGGCTACAGGACTGAGCCTTCATTTTAAAGGCCGCTGTGCCTGTGTCATTTGTGTCCAGTCCACCTTGCGTCGCAGGAGCAAGCCGGAGCGGAAGGAGCGTATCAGCGAGCAGACCTACCAGCTCTCACGATGGACCCCCGTTGTGAAGGACATCATGGAGGTAAGGCCGAGAGGGGGGAGGGACAGCGGTGGAGAGAAGGGCAGGAGCAGTGCTAGCGGAGATCTTCTCTGGAGAGCACAGTGCATAGATCAATGGGGACTAATTTAGTTAGAACCACTAAAGAGAGACCTGGATGTGAATGTGAGGAAAACCGGGAAAATCTGGAGAGAATTAGAAAAGGTGGCACAAGACAGAGAGGCTTGGAAAGAAATGTTGATGGCCCATGCTGCCATAGGAGCGAAGGGCAAAGACAACGACTCAAGAGAGATCTTGGAGGCATTGTGGATAGTTCTCTGAACACATCCACTCAGTGTGCAGCGGCGGTCACAAAAGCAAACAATGTTCGGAATCATTAAAAAGGGGATAGAGAATACGGCAGGGAATATCTTATTGCCTCTGTATAAATCCATGGGACACCCACATCTTGAATACTGCGTACAGATGTGGTCACCTCACTTCAAAAAGATCTCTTGGCATTGGAAAAGGTTTAGAAAAGGACAACACAAATGAGGAGGAGTTTGGAACGGGTGCCATCTGAAGAGAGATTAGAAAGACTGGGACTTTTCCACTTAGAAAAGAGGAGACTAAGGGGGGGATATGATAGAGGTCTATAAAATCATGACTGGTTTGGAGAAAGGGAATAAGGAAAAAGTTATTTACTTGTTCCCATAACATGAGAACTGGGGGTCACCAAATGAAATTAATAGGTAGCAGGTTTAAAATAAGGAAGTTTTTCTTCACATAGTGCACAGTCAACCAGTGGAACTCCTTGCCAGAGGATGTTGTGGAGACCAGGACTTTATCTAGTTTATCTAACCCTGTTAAATTCATGGAGGTTAGGTCCACCAATACTTATTACCCAGGATGGGTAGAAATAGTGTCCCTAGCCTCTGTTTGTCAGAAGCTGGAAATGGATGACAGGGGAGGGATCACTTGATTACTTGTTCTGTTCACTCCCTCTGGTGCATCTGACATAGAAGACAGCATGCTGGGCTAGATGGACGCACTGGAGAGGGTCCAGCGGAGGGCGACCAAAATGATGAGGGGGCTGGAGCACATGACCTATGAGGAGAGGCTGAGGGATTTGGGTTTTTTTAGGCTGCAGAAGCGAAGAGTGAGGGGGGCTTTGAGAGCAGCCTTCAACTTCCTGAAGGGGGGTTCCAAAGAGGCTGGAGAGAGGCTGTTCACAGTAGTGACGGATGCAGAACAAGGAGCAACGGTCTAAAGTTACAGTGGGGGAGGTCTAGGTTGGATATTAGGAAAAAACTATTTCACTAGGAGGGTGGGGAAGCACTGGGCTGGGTTCCCTAGGGAGGTGGTGGAATCTCCATTCCTAGAGGTGTTTAAGTCTCGGCTTGACAAAGCTGTGGCTGGGTTGATTTAGTGGGGATGGTCCTGCCATGGGCAGGGGGCTGGACTTGATGACTCCTGAGGCCTCTTCCAGCTCTATGGTTCTATGACCTTTGGTCTGACCCAGTACGGCCGTTCTTATTGCAAGTGCTTTGGGGCAGGAACTGCTTGTTCTGTGTTTGTTTTGCACAGAGCACAAATAGGGTCGGATCCGTGACGGGGCTCCTAAGCACCACGGTAAAGCAAAGGCATTCACCTGCTTCCAGGACCGCATGGTCCTGTAGAACACGGACCCTCTGGGCTGCATCTGTCAGCTCAGCAAGCAGGGCGGGGTCTGTCAGAGCGTGCTGCACACTCTGGTCTCGGGAGGCGACCTGCCCTTCCATTTCGGATTGCGTGTGTCCAGCTATGCAGAGCGAGGCGGTGCTGCGGGCACTTCACCATGCTCACAACCAGCCTCCCTCTCTGGGAGCGGGTCCCGTCCCTGCGCTCTGGTATCCCATTGCCAGGGTGGTGGAGCAGGTCAAAGGGGGAGGGGTATGGAAACACATTCACTCAATTCTCCATCACCCCTGGGGCAGATGAACGTTTCTGAGCCCGCCTGGCACAGAGCGCAGCGTTGGCTTTGAACAAAGATGTTTCCTAGCTGACCTTTCAAGGTTAATTGCCAGGATAATAAACCTACTCTCCAGTGCTGTGGTGCGAGCTCGGCAGCCAACTGAGGCCAAGCTGCTCGGATTTTAATTTCTCAGGGTACGTCTACACAGCAAACCGTTATTTTGAGATGATGTCGAGCTGGAGGACTTCTTCCTCCAACTCCCGTAACCCTCATTTGCTGAGGAGTAAGGGCAGTTGGAGACGACTGTTCTTCCTTCGACTGCCTACTGTGCAGACAGCGCCAAAAGCAGAGTGAAGCCATTTTGAAGTCAGCCACGCCATGGATGTAGCCGAAGTCACGTCTCTCCATTTGGCTTTTGCCCTGCTGTGTAGACGTGCCCACTGTGACGCAGTGCAGAAAGGACCCTGGCCTATGCTGCCACCTAGTTGCAAAAGGCAGCCCTGAAGTGGAACAGCCCTCTCTTTGGAACCGTGGCTGTGTCCCCGGCAGCCAGCAGAAGAAGGTTTTAGACTATTTACGAAGTCTAAAGGAGAGAGCTGCAACCCTTTCCCCTGCATGTTCATGGGATCTCAGCTTGGCTAAAGAGGAGCCAGCACTAGCAACTATTCCCCACCCGTGTTATTGCATAACTTCCCGTTCCCGAGTTTTCCGCTTCCCTCTGGAAAATGGGACCTTACTGTTTACCCATCACCCAAACCTGTGGGCGGGGAGTGTAAAACCCCCAGTGGCGGAGAGATTCAGAACCCGCTGGTGTCAGGTTGCAGTGCCCAGGGATGAGACAGCCTGGTGCTGCTCTAAACAAAGTCGCTCGCAGCCAGGCCTGCGTCTGCCTCCATCACTGCACAGTGACTCACTGGAGCCTTCCCGTGAGGTTGGGGTTATTGTTTGTGCTGGCTGTGTCTGTGTGGGTGGCACATGAATTCTGCATACAGATGTGGGCGCCTCATCTCAAAAAAAGATACATTGGCATTAGGAAAGGGCAAGAAAAGTGATTAGGGGTTTGGAACGGGGCCCATATGAAGAGAGAGTGAAAAGAGTTGGACTTTTCAGCTTAAAGAGGAGACTAAAGGTAGATATGAGAGAGGTCTATAAAGTCATGACTGGTGTGGAAAAAGTGAATAAGGAAGTTATTTACTTATTCCCACAATAGAAGAATTAGGGTCAGCAAGTGAAATTAATAGGCAGCAGGTTTAAAACAAAGGGAAGTTTTTCCTTCACTCCGTGCACAGTCAACCTGTGGAACTCCTTGCCAGAGGATGTGGTGAAGACTAGGACTTTAACAAGGTTAAAAAAAGAGCTAGATAGATTCATGGAGGTGAGGTCCATCAATGGCTATTAGCCAGGATGGGTAGGGATGCTGCCCCTAGCCTCTGTTTGTCTGGAAATGGGTGACAGGGGAGGGATCACATGAGGATTCCCTGTTCTGATCCCTCCCTCTGCGGCATCTGGTATTGGCCACTGTCGGCAGGCAGGATACTGGGCTAGATGGACCTTTGGTCTGACCCAGTATGGCCGTTCTTATGAGGGGGGTGCTATGGTGAGGGGCTACATGTGCCCACTGGTGATCTTGTGGGGCTGGGGAGGGTTCTATCGGGAGAGCTGTGTGGGTGGCCGGTAGGCTAAGTCATCCACCATCTGTGCAGTCTCCTTCATGCAACCAATGAAACTGCTACATGCAAATGTGCTGTAGCGTGAGGGTGGTGATTGGTTGAGTTACTCTGATCTCAAACTGGTCTTGGACTCTAAAGCACATGTCTATGGCCCGTACAGTAGCTGGACTCCACACTGGTGTAATTCATAAGACCAGACTGGCTGAGAACTCAGATTGGATGGCTACAACCCAACCCCGCAGTGCGGGAACAGGGTGGTATCCTGAACAGACAGCGCTCTCCGCCCTCCTTGTAGCTGCTTCACACCCACTCAGTCAGGCTAGGCTTCAGCGTCACACAAACTCCTGGCATCTTAGTACACTACAGGGGTAGTTGTGTTACCATAAGGTGTACCAGCCCCAGTCATGCACCTGGGCCCCAGGGTGCGAGGCGATGTCCCAGCGGAACAAAAAAATTGGCTCCTGCCCCAAGAGTTCAGTGTCTGTTAGTGAATTAGAGGCAGAGGTGAAAGTGCGTCGTTCGGGGCCAGGACGGCGTAGCGGGGAGACGTAGCCATCGGTACGGTACTGGCCCGTACACAGCTGACGTTAACTACCATGGCAGTGCTGTCAGACCCTACAAGGGGGTGACTTTAACCCCTGATTAGATGGAGCCCTTCTGTGAGCCAATATGGCAATGCTTTGCCTGTTATTGATGCTGCACTGGAAGCAGCTTGTTTGGAGACTAACAGCGGGGAAGAGGAGTAAGGGGGTGGGGGGAGTGTATGGGAGGGTGTGTGTGTGCATGTGTTAAATCCCACATTGGAAGGCGGGGGGGCGGGGAAGGGAGCTAATGTTCTCTGATAGGTTGTATTGGAGAGACTCTGTAGCATTTTCTGCCTACAAAGCTCTTGTGATCAGCAAAAAAGAGTCAACCCCCCCTTATCTTTGACTGCTAAGTAATTAACCTAATGAACACTTGATGCATGCTAAGAATCAACTGCAAACTTGGGAGAGGGAAGACAGAGCAGATGCCTGTGGCCTTTGCTTTTGTTTTATCCCCGACTGCTCCCCCATCAGCCATGCTCTCATCCTGCCAGCGCCACCCCCGTGTTTTACAGACACCTCTGCCCTCCAGGGCCCTCCCTGAAGGCAATGACGAGGCACTAATCAGAGCTCTGTGACCGTTGGCTCAGCACCCCCTCAGGATGGTGGGGGAGGGTAGAGAGCAAGTCTTTAGGGCTGATGACAATGGCTCATTAAGGGTGCCTGGCCCCGTGGGGTTCCTCGTAGATCACACCTGGGAGCTGTGCAGAGTCATTACCCTGTTGCTGGGTGTCGGGGCTGGGAATCAGTAGACACAACAGCCGGCCCAGTCCTGCTCGGTTAGGCGCGCTGGAGGCAGCGGGAACCTCACAGCTGCAGCCTCAGTGATGGTCCCAGGGATTTTATGGCAGAACAGGTCTGCCCGGCAGGTGGCTTAGGTTCCGGGCTCGCCCAGGACATGCAGGAGGGGCTGCTGCAGAGCGACCTGCTCACTGGGCTGGCTGGGAAACCCAGGAAGGAGCAGGGAGGCCTATAGAATCGCAGCCGTACAGGGGCCTCCCGAGGTCAGTCAGCCCATCCCTAGTCAGGGCCAGGGTTACGTTTCCTAGGAGCTGTTTCCGACAGTACCACATTGCTGGGCCCACTAAGCTCGGACTCTTCTCGTCTCTTCCCAGGACACTATTGAGGACAAACTGGACACCAAGCACTACCCCTATATCTCTACCCGCTCCTCGGCCTCCTTCAGCACCACTGCGGTCAGGTAGGTAGAGCCCCCGGCAGAGGAGCCCTGCCCTGGCCCAGAGGAGATGCAGCTCTGAACCTCAGGCCAGCCTCACCGCTCTGCCTCCATGGGCTTCTCAGCATCAAGAGGTTGTGGGGCACCAGAGGGCTCAGTTAGGATTGAAGCCCTGGGTAGATAAAAGACTTGCCCAGCATCTCACACACATGCGGCAGAGCCAGGAACTGAACTTGGGTCTGCTGATCCCCACACACATGGGCTGTGTCCAGACTGCATCCCTTTTCCATAAAAGGGATGCAAATTAGACACATCGCAATTGCAAATGAAGCGGGGATTTAAATCCCCCCCCGCTTCATTTGCATAAACATGGCTGCCGCTTTTTTCCGGCTCGGAGCTTTGCCAGAAAAAAGCGCCAGTCTAGATGGGGATCTTTCAGAAAATAAAGCCTTTTCCGAAAGATCCCTTATTCCTTTTTTTAAGAGGAATAAGGGGTCTTTTGGAAAATGCTTTATTTCCCAAAAGATCCCTGTCTAGACTGGCGCTTTTTTCTGGCAAAGCTCCGAGCCGGAAAAAAGCGGCAGCCATGTTTATGCAAATGAAGCGGGGGGGGATTTAAATCCCCGCTTCATTTGCAATTGCGATGTGTCTAATTTGCATCCCTTATGGAAAAGGGATGCAGTCTAGACACAACCTTCAAGTCCTACCCACAACTTGTCTTCCTATGCCACCTTCGGGTCCATTACTGCCTTCGGCTGCACCCACAGTGTGCTCAATATCCAGTGACCATGGCAACCTGCAATGCAGCCTCTTTTCCCCAGGCCTAATCTGTAATCCACTCCGTACATCTGCTGCATGGGTAGGACCAGCAGCTGTGCCTGCGTAACAGGTGAAATTAGTCACCTTTCCTCTCAGCTCTTCAGAGAGGACACCTGCCAGCAACCTGTTACCTGGCCAACCAGGATAACCTGATCACCTCAGGAGAAAAGGGGGGGGATGTTGGAGAACAGAACAACATTAGTTAAAGAGTCTATCAGTGTTCATGTCATCACTCCAAGTCTCTAGCCTTATTCCCTCACAAGTGCTCTTACCAGGCCCAGAGTTCCCTAGGGAGCCAGGCCTGGTTGGTGTCCTGTGCTGCCCAAACTCAGTGCCTGTCTCTGCTTCTGTTCTCCCTTCACCTCCCCACTTCACACCCCCGGAATGAGCTGGTCTGGCTTATATAGGTTGAGGCCCCGCCCACTTTCAGCAGGCTGTGTGCTGATTGGTTACTTGGAGTCAGCTACTTGTGGGGTTTTTTCTGCTCCCCACCCCCTGGACATTCTGTCACAAGATCCCAGAATGCATTGCCAAACAGACTGCTGCCATCTGTGCTGGTCTCCCAGGTGCTCTCCCACACACACTAAGGCACCATTAAGGGGCACCATCAAGGCAGTAACGGGCCCTCTGAGGTCCCTCAAACATCCTATCAAGGTAGGGTGGCCTAACAGTCACAGAGTGTGTGCAGGGTAGTACAGCCTAATGGCTAGAGTCAATATACACTTCCCCTCAGTTCAGGATAGTACAGCCTAATGGCCACAGAATCAGTACACAGTATAGTCCAGCAGCCACAGAGTCAATATACTCCCCCCCTTCCCCAGGTCAGAGGGATACAGCCCAGCAGCCCAAGAGTCAATATAATTCCCCTATGTTCGAGGTAGTAGGGCCTAACAGTCACAGGAGCAATACACTTCCCATGCAGTCAGTTTGGCCTAGTAGCCAGTGGCCAAAGAATAGGGGAAGCTCCCAGCACGGGTTAGGTGAGGAAGGGGTAGGGGGATCCGGGCCCTCCTTCTGCACTGGGTCCCAGTCCAGGGCCCTATGGCAGGGAATCCACCGCAGCACACCCAACCTGTATCCTGGAGGGAGTCCTCTCATGCCAGTCTGGAGGCACCTACCACAGTCCCTCAGCCTGGCTGCCACTGCTCAGTCCAGCTATGCTTCCTCCCCTGGAGTCATCAGCCCTGAGCAAGCCCCCCCAGAGGTCTTTATATAGCCAGCCTCCAGCTGGCGCATGACCAGCAGGGCTGTGGGGCCAGCCCTCCTCAGCTAGCAGAACCAGGGTTGAAACACTCCCGTCAGAGTCACTGTGGGATAATTAGGTTAGGACAGGTGTGGCTGCACAGACATGGGTGGGGGAAGCTGCAGTCTGGACGCAGCTCAACCCTGCTTGGGTTGGGGTGGGATGGAGGTGTCGGGATCTGGCTACAAAGGTCCATTTGTAGCTGGCAGGTGGATAAACCCACAATCATCCCCAGCACCAGCAACTCACGTTGACTCTGCTTTCTTTCCTTCTGATTCCATGGGAATTGGAGCTGCTCAGAGTGCTCAGGGCAAGGCACGAGGTGGGCACTCAAGGGGGAGGTCCAACAGCAGCCCCTGTGGGTCCAGTTCTGAACCCCCGGCATCTCCTGGATCTTCCATTGCACCTCATGCCTGCCTGGCATCCAGGCCAGGCCATGTTGCCTAAACTGCAATACCTAGCGATGGAAACTGCTCCGTGCCTCAGTTTCCCCATCTATCACAGAGGGGTAACTGACTGCTCATCGAGAAAACATTTAAGATCTTTGCAGGCAAAATGGAAAAGCGTCACCAACTTTTATTATTGCTGCCTGTGTCCTAATAATATTTAGCGCTTCTTAACCCCCCCCCCCAAATAATTAACCCTTGTAACAGCCCCAGGAGGGCAGGTAGCATTATTCACCTCTCTGCTTCGGTTTGGAGTCCCCTGCCTCATGTTCCTCACAGATACTGTCACTTACTCAAGTTTGTAGAGGGAGCAGAACCCAGGCCCCCGTCTCCCTGCCCTGTGCTCAGGCACCAGCCGGCGTTCCTCAGCCGGAGGGATTCGTCAGACACAGGAGCGGACTGGCACCGTGCAGAGCGATTTCAGAGTAGTGTGAGTGCAGAGACTCTCCGCTGCGTTTCACCACAGCTCTTCCTCTCTTCCCTCTCTAGTGCCCGCTACGGACACTGGCACAAGAACAAGGCCCCCGGTGAGTACAGGGCCGGCCCTCGCCTCATCATCTTCATCCTGGGGGGCGTGAGCCTGAGCGAGATGCGCTGCGCCTACGAGGTGACGCAAGCCAGCGGGAAGTGGGAGGTGCTAATAGGTGAGTGGCGCGGGCGGTCTGGGCTGAGCCACGCACAGCTCCATCCCACGCTTCTGTGTCTCACCCTCTCTCTGAACGCCGTTCCGCTCTGTGCCAGAGGCCAGCAAACAAAATCCAGTTTCCAGATGACCGTGTGGGAGGGACCGATGTGGAAAGTTCATTTCTCCCACCTGGGAAGCCGGGGTTTGCCCCTACCGACCATTGAGCCTGTGAGTCTGGCAGGGGCCAATACTTAACGCTTTGGGCAAAGGTGAGCTCTCTCTCCCAGCCAGTTGTTCAGGTGGAAGGAAAGGGAAGTTTCCTTCCTGACCCCTGAAATGGTCTCTTTTGGCCCTGAAGCATGAGAGTTGACTCTTGTTGCACCCTGTTGGCTTTTATTGGTCAGAAGACATACACATGTCCACAGACCTCCTTCTCCAGGGCAGAAGTTTGGAGGTGCTGCCACACAAGGGCAGCAAAGTGTGTGTGTATGTCCTGGGGTAGAGTCAAGATCCAGCAGGTAGCAGAGGAGTTAGGAGCCACAGACACTCCAGGGCTGTGTCTAGACTGCATCCCTTTTTCGTAAAAGGGATGCAAATTAGACATATCGCAATTGCAAATGAAGCGGGGATTATCTCTTATGTTAAGAGGGATAAGGGATCTTTCGGAAAAGGCTTTATTTTCCGAAAGATCCGCGTCTAGACTGGCGCTTTTTTCTGGCAAAGCTCCAAGCCGGAAAAAAGCGGCAGCCATTTTTATGCTAATGAAGCGGGGGAGATTTAAATCCCCGCTTCATTTGCAATTGCGATATGTCTAATTTGCATCCCTTTTACGAAAAAGGGATGCAGTCTAGAGACAGCCCAGGAGAGGAGGACTGGCTAATGCATGGTTCTGACGGAGAGGCTGGCCTTTTCCTTGCTGCAGGTCACAATTGACATGCCCCCGGGGCGCTCCGTGTCTGTCTGTGCTTTGGGTGCGGGTAGGTCTGGAGTAGCAGCAGAAGTTGGTGTCGGGGTGATGGGAAAGGGAGCCTATGCCTGGTTCCAGGGAGAGCTCTTAGGCCCTCCCGTCCCTGAGTGTGAAATTCACTCCTGCTGGGTTAGCACTGGAGGCCCTCCGGACTGCGTCCTTAACACAGCACTGCTCAGCTTGGCACATCCAGAACGTAGGCCGCTGGCGTCCCTCGTGGCTCCTCTAACCAGCACCTCATCTGCTCACTGGATTTTCTCCACTGGAACATCTACTCTGCCTTGCCTTTATCTCCTCCTCTAACCTCCACCGCCTGGCCAGCCACCTCTCCGTGCGGTTCTGTGTGTTGCGCATTGTCACCAATCTCATTCACCACGTCACATCTGCCATTAACGCGGCCTCTGGTCTGTGACTCTGATTGTTGCATGTGTGTTTAATGTCCCCTGACGATGGTGTCTCGAACCCTTCTGGGATGGCAGCGGTTTACCTCCAGGCCTCCTTGCTAAGCAGGGTTCTAAGATCCGCTCCATTCAGATGTCTTCAAGGTTTCTCTCATAATGATCTGACATAACATCCACTGGAATCGATGGAAGGATTCCCATTGACTTCAGTGGCCCTAGATTTGGCCTTCGGCCTAGCGTGCTTCCTAGAAGCCTCACAGCTCAGCAGAAATCTGAGGTGAGGGCTGGGGTGGAGACGGATGATTGACCGTTGCTGTTACCCTCATACAACACACCTTTGTTAACCACGGAGGCCCAGTGGTGACCGCATAAGCCCAGCCTCTGAGCTCATGTGTTAGTGCACGCAAACATCCATTTCTCTCCATCTCTCTCTGTGTGTCTCTCTCTGGCTTTCTCACCCATTTTCATCTGCTGTGTAGTATGAATATTAGGCCTAAGTTGGCATGTTCCTTTAATTTATTTCTGTTCAAGAAGTCAGCCCGCCTCTGTTCTCTCACAGGTTCTACTCACATTCTTACTCCCACCAAATTTCTCATGGATCTGAGGCACCCCGACTTCAGGGACTCCACTAGGGTATCTTTTGAGGATCAGGCTCCAACAATGGAGTGAGAGCCAAAGAAACAAAGTAAAAGCAGCTTATTAAAGAAAAGAAACTCTTCCACCTGGAAGGGGTTTCTTTGATACTTCCGTCACTCTTTTTCTTTAACTATTATTTCGACTTTTTTTTTCTTTTCTTCTTTCCTTTTGGTTTGTTGGTTTGTTTTGGTTCTTTGATGAGAAAATGCTTGCAGTTCTTCCTACCGATTTGAAAATGTGTCCAGTGCCGCCTCCATTAACCCTATACCATGAATCTCTTTTTGGCCAGAACTTGCCGGCATCCTCATGCCATCCGTCCCCCATTGCGGAGTCCTCGCGAGGCAGGGGGCGAGGGCTCGCTGGCGGGCACTCGACTGGAGAGACGCCATCACTTAACGCATCTGAATGGGGAAAGGGCAGGAGGTGGACTCAGGATTCGCGGACCGGCAGAGCGCGTGCATGGATTTAGAGTCGGGGTTAGGGCCAGATGATTCCTGCGCGGATGGGCAGCATGAACTGGGCGCCGTGTGGCTGCATCAGTGGAGGCCCCTGCTTTGGATGCAGAGGGGACGTGTCCAGCAGATCAGGTGTTAGGACAAACCATGGCTTCCGGTGGCAGGAGTCACATGGCTCCTAGAGAGCTACCTGGGCAGTGGATAGCAATCCCTGCGGCTCGTCGGACTGTCCCCGTCCTGCTCCCATCCGCAGTGGTGCTGGAACCGTTTGTGGGGTGCAGTTGCTGTGCTGCCACCCGTTAGACCTGTTGAGATCCAGTTGCCAGCTCTCCTGGACCAGATGGACTGGACTCCATTGCTGCAAATGGCATCCAGTCTGGGAGAGTTGGCAACCCTCACTGCCCTGGGGCAGCTGCAGAGCCCTGGGCCGGCAGCAGGAGCCCGGAGCTGGTGGAGCCCATGGCAGGGCCAGTGGGACTCCGGGGGCTAGCAGATCCCATGGGGCTGGTGAATGACAGGACCCTGAGGGCTGGCAGGACCCCAGGTGGCTGGCAAAGCGCATACGGCCAGCAGGACTCTGTGGGGGCCACCCGGAGGCTGGGACCCAAGCCTGGAGGAGCTGGCAATGGGGCCAGCCCGCAGGCTCAGGGAAGCCGGGTGCAAAACCTGGGGGTGCTGAAGTACCCCTGCATCCCTGCGCCTTTGCCCATCCCTCCCCTCCCCCCGATTGCTGATGTTTTCATGTTGCCTCTTTCACGCCGCTTTCTCCATCAGGGACTTTTGCAAAGCCTCTGGCGTGAGGGTGTTTTGGGTTGCCAAGGGAACGGACTAAAGGGAGTCGTGGTTACGCTGTAGCAGCTTCAGAGGCCTGGGGCCAGATCCTGGAAAACTCTCCTTGCGGTCGGGTGGGCCATGAGAACGGCAGCTTTGCGGGTGTGAGGAGATGCACACCAAACCCTGGAGTCCTGTCACAGTGGGCAGAGGGGCACCATCAGTTACAGCCCAGGGGAGCAGGGACGAGGGATCTTCACAGGGGTTTGGGCAGTGGGGAAAAGGGGAAAGAATCTCATCGTGCCCTCCACAGATGCATGTCAAGCAGCACCAGCTGGTGCTGCCCGTTTTCGAAAGGGGACGCGACTCCGTTTCCCCCTCCTTGGAATGCTTCCAGGCTGCCCTTGACTTTTGTTTTTACTGGATCCGATTGTGGGCCATGCTCCTCCTCTGAGCCCCCGTCGGAAGCTCACAGAGCTCACAAGTCCCTTCCTGCACTGTCCCAGCTGGAATCCAAGCAGCCGCTGCCTCCAGGGGCCGCTGTCCGTCGCCAGAGGTTGGGTGCAAATGCCATTCTGGTGCAAAGGAGAGAGTTGGCTTTATCAGACCCTACGTGAGCATCCGGACGCACATTCCTCCAGGGCAAAGTCCTGTGGTTCAGGCGTAAGCGTCGGCCACCTCCCGTACACCAAGGTCTGCCAGGCAACAGTGTCAGAGGCGGCAAGTTTGTTGCACAAATGCACAGCACAACTCGGAATCCATTTGTGCTGAAAAACCTCCATCGCAATGACATCTCTTCTGCCTCCCCGGGCAGCTCCGCCGGCATGCACTGGAGATGCCAGTGAGACTTGGGGCTCCCTGCTTGTCACACTCACGCCCCACCCGGGTGTGCCGTCCAGCAAGAGCTGAGGAAGAGAAGCACTCGGCTGCTCTTGGGGCTCAATCTCTGCTTTCATGGGGCACAGAGGTGAAAAGCATCTTCCAGCCAATCTGAAGTACCCTGGTGGGCGTTCAGGGCGGCATGCGGAGCGGAGCAGGTGGCCCGGTGTTTGGTGCTGCACAGAGTTTGTTGCTTTCTGAGGCTGGGTGTCAAAGGCCCACGTCGGTAAAGAGTTGATCAGCACAGCGAAAGCATCGTCTCCGACTCCATCCCCGGAGTGTCTCCATCAATCCCATTTACACTACCAGCACTTTCCACGTCTCCATAGACTGACAAGCCCCCAGTGCATCCCCTGGACCGACAGAGAACCCGAGTCAATACGAGGGGAAGTGACTTGCCCAAAGACAGAGGCGTAGCGGGCTGGAAGCGACCCCAAGAGGCCAAGTCCAACCTCCTGCACTGAAGCAAGACCAAGGAAACGTAGACCCACCCACAAGAGTTTGTCCAGCCTGTTCTTAGAAACCCCCAGCGATGGGGGTTCCACAGCCTCTCCAGAGCGTAGTGACCCGCAGGGTTAGAAGCTTTTCCTAATATTGAACCTCAGATCCCCCAGGCCACAGATCAGCCCATCATCTCTTGTCCTACCTTCACTGGCGTTGCTCTCCTCTGGCCCCTCCAACGTGGCCACGTCCTTCTTAAAGCGCGGTGCCCAGAACCGGGCACAGTCGTCTGGCTGAGGCCTCAGCAGGGCCAGGGAGAGCGGGCCCCTTGCCTCCACCCAGAGAGCCTCTGGCAGAGGCACCTGGCTCATTCGCAGGACTGAAGAGCCCCCATCTGGATTCCTGACCAGGGTTTTAAAAGAGGCTGCTCCCAGAGAGTATAAGGTGCGCTGGGGCCGGCCTTTGGGATCTGGCCTGTGTGGTGCAGGTTCCCATGCCCTAGGGCAGCGTTTCCCAGTTTTATTTGGCCATGGAACCCCTAGGGTTGCCTTAAAAAAAAAAAGCCATCGCCACGTTTCGTCGAGCAAAAAACAAAACAGAGCCCTGGCCGGTGAGTCCTGTGGCGGCTCTGTCTCTTTAAGAGGGGGCGGGGGAGTGCCGGCTCTTCGCGGAACCCCAGGGTTCCACGGCGCACCAATTGGGAAGCGCTGCCGTAGGGACGTGTGTAGTAGCGCGTGGTTGAGTGTCAGTGCTGTGGTGTGAGTGCCTAGTCCCTTGGACCGTAAGGCCTGACTCCCAGTGCCACAGTCTAACTGCTAGACAACGCTGCCTGTAGACTGAGAGTCGGGAACCTAAATGCTGGCCCTGAGTCTGCCCAGCTGCGTGGCGAGGCCTCCAGAACATCATTCTGCCTCCCCATGGGGCAGTTTCCTCAAGCTGTCGAAGGGGCAACACAGCCCAGAGCCTCAAAGGGGTTTCGGCACCTGCCTCCCACTGATGTCGATGCAGCGGGGCCGCGACAGCAGAGCCGGGAGAGAGAGGCTCACGCCGAGCAGCATTTAACCGCACCTGCCTGTGGAGCCAGATCCGGAATTGTGTTTAGGTGCCTGACTCCCGCTGATTTCAGGTTAGGCTCCTCCATGCCGGGCGAGGGGCAGGGGGCAAGGAGAGCCCGTGACATTTACCTTCATGGGGAGATGCCTGGCGACCGGCGGGGGAAAAGCCGTATAGAGGTGCCAGGCATTTTAACAGGGCTGCCAACTTTCCCCGGGCTTGCGGGGCGACGTAAAGTCCCAGCTCCAGGAGTCAAGGGATTACATGAAACGCTCGGATTTCACGTTGGCCTTTTATCGTACGTTTCTAGCCCGCCTGCTCGAAAACATGAAAACAGGAGCCCCTAGGGCCTCAGAGACGGGAAGACAACTAACAAGAACCCCAGATGTCAGTACATGTGCAGCCCAGCCCATGATTGGTGCCGGCTTCGGGGTGGCCATGCTGGCTTATTGCAGATGGGGGCCCAGGGACTCCAGAGGACTTTTTTGTAGCAGCTAATGTCCAACGAGGGTGACAGCTGCGGCCCTGGGAGAGGAGGCAGGCGGGCTGGCTGCTCTCATTGGCAAGAGCTCCAGTATTTGCCCGTCGTGTTTCTCTTTCTTCAAGGCTATGTCTACACTGGTGGGTTCTTGTGCAAGAACGGCCGTTCTTCTACAGAGCATCCACACCGCCCGCCCGCTCTCGCGCAAGATTTACAGTCCGGCGTCAGAAGAGAGGGCGTCTTGCGCAAGAGCTACGCTCTTGTCTAACAGGTGTAAGCTCTCTTGTGCAGGGGCTCTTGCGCAAGAGGCAGTGTGGACGCGCGGCAGAAATTCTTGCGCAAGAAAGCCCTATGGCTAAAATGGCCATCAGAGCTTCCTTGTGCAAGAGAGCGTCCACAATGCCATGGATCTTGCGCAAAAGCACATGGCAGGGTGGACGTGTTCTTGTGCAAGAGTTCTTGTGCAGGAATCTTGCACAAGATATTCTTGCGCAAGAACCCGCCAGTGTAGACATAGCCCAAGAGGGCAGCTCCATGAAAAACGAGTCAACCCAGAGGGTGGGTTCGTGCCGTGCTTGCTTTGTTTCTGTCTCTTGACATGTAAGAGGGCCGGTGGCTCCCTGACGCCGTCTGTCCGAGAAGGAAATAGAGCAGCTCTGCTGTAGGGGGCTGGATTTGCCCACGTTGCTGCTCCCCGCACCGTGTTCCTTGCTGCCCACGCTGCAGGGAGCAGGGAGAGAGAGACAGAGAGGAACTTGCGAACCTCCTTTCGAGCCTTGTTCCAGAGAAGCTCGCAGTGGCTAAGGCTGGAGCTGAGGGGGCCGTGAGTCTGGGGCCCGGCTTGGGTGGCTGAGGAAGGAGCCAAACAGCCACACGTCTGTCTTCTCCCTGCAGCAGGTCCGCCGGGGGGGGGAGCGCTCTGGAGAGTTGCCCGCATGGGGCCACCTGAGCCCAGATTTGGATGCCGCTCTCTGCATTAGCCAAGTGTTTTGGGCCCACGCTGCCCCCGCCTTCCCCACAGCTGGCAGGCGCCGGGGCTGGCGAGGGCGTGAGCTGAGCGTCGGCGAGGGCAGGGGTGTGACTGCTGAGCCAGAGTAGGGGAGGGTGGGAAACGCAAGAACCCATCCAGGGGGAGGAGTCAGATGAGGCTCCTCCTACGGCTGGGGGGGTGCGCCTCACAGAACCGCCGGAGGTAATTGTGTCTGGGGGGCAGCGGTCCGTTCGTTAAAGGGAAGGATGCTATAAAGGGCAGGGGCTGCAGGAGGATGGTTACTACAGGGCAATCCAACCCCCAGCACCAGTAGATATTAAGAGTGGGGAAGCTAAGGCCCAGGGGCTGGAAGAGCCCCTGGCTTGCCTGGATCCAGCCCCTGAAGCTTGGATCTCCCCCCCCCCCACCTCCCAGTATTGACGATCCTGTACTGGTGCTCCAGCCCCCTCCCCACCTCGTGGGGCTGGAGCACACACAATCCACTAGCCTGGGCCCCCGAGGCTCTGGTGTGCGAGGGGAACAGAGAAGGGCTTTTCTCAGTCAGGGGCCATGTCCGGGAGGGGTTGGGTTTTTTTCACTTGTGTGTGGCCCCCGACTGATTTTTCTGTGGGTCAGTGGCCTTGACCCAAAAATAGTTCCCACCCTGCATTATCCGTTCCCCTGGAGTGGCCTTAGGCAGGGACTGGGAGCCGTTGCGCTGGCTGGACCCGAAGGGGTGGAGGCGAGCCCAAGCCCCGGTGTGTTGTACGTCGGCAGGGCGGTGCCGGGGCCAGGGCTGGCCTGAGCCCTTTTGGCGCCCTGGGCCCGGGCGTGCGGCGCCGCCCCCGGGTGCAGGGCACATGTGCAGGCCCAGGCCCCTCTCCTCCCAGGGTGCGCGGGCCCGCTCCGAGCGCC